AATGCAATTCCAACTTGTGGTAAGAGCTAATGAGGAAATGAACAGGGTGTCGTGGCAGGGCCTGCCTGAGGAGGTGTCATTTAAGCTGAAGCTGGAAGAATGAGAAGGAGCCGCTATGTGTATAGTGTGGGGAAAGCGTTCCAGGCAGAGGGAATAGCATTTGTGAAAACTCTGAGACAGGAAAGGGCTTGGTGCCTTAGAGATAGCAAGGAGTTGAGGGGGAACTGGACTATAACGAATGAGGAAGACAGGGTGGGAGACCAGATCAGAGAGACAGGCAGGCGGCAGCTCCTACGGCTATAGGGAAGGAGTTTGGATTTTCTTCCAGGTGCAATGGGAAGTTGCTGAAAGGTTTTAAGGAGGGAGTGAGGGGATCCAAATTATACTGTAAAAAGGCTGCTCTGACCGCTGTGTGGAAGGAGAGAAGAGGAGAAGTAGGAGGTTATTTCAGTAGTTTGGATGACTTGGACTTGGTTAGTGTATCAGACAGGATGGGCTAGGTTGTGCTGCAGTAACAAACATCCCCTAACCACATTGGCTTAACATAATGAACGTTTATTTCTCCTTCATGCTCAGTTTTTTGTGGATCAGCAGAGAGGCTCCGCTCATCTTAATCATTCAGGGATTCAGGCTGACAGGGTCCCCGTCTCAACACAATTTCCATAATCCTCACGGCAGGAGGAAGGGAAGTGTATCGGCTCTTAAAATTCCCCATCAGAAGTGGCAGCTGTCTCTTCCACTCACACGTTATTGGCTGTCAGTCACACAGGCATGCCTCACTACAGATGGGGTGGGAAGGTGCCATCCTACCATGTACCCAAGAGGAGAAAAACTGGATCACGCTAATGACCATCACAGGCCATGAGAGAGAAGATGGAGAAAAGCGAAAGAATTCAAAGTATGTTTTGTAAGTAAAAGTGACAGGTCTTACTGATGAGTTATGTGTAGAGACCAGGGGAGGAGAGGGAAGAGTCTAAATGATTCCCAGGTTTTTGGTTGAAGAATCAGGGTGGTTGGTGGTCCCGTTTGCAAAGGTGGTACACTGGATGTGAAACAAGTTTTGAGTGGGCCTGCAATGAGAGATTTGGAGTTAAACGTGCTCAAGTATGGCAAGTGAATTACGCAAATTTTCTGGAGCTCGGAAAGGAGGTTTGGGATGGATACAAATTTGAGTGTCATCAAATACAGGTAGTGATTAACACCTTGGGAATGGAAGAAGAGGGGGCAGGAATGAGCCCTGGGAGCCCCATCACCAAGAGGTTGGGGAGAGGGTGAGCAGCCAGCCCAGCAGAAGAGGAGAAGCCAGAGAGACTGAGGGAAACCAAGGAGGCACATCACAGACACCAAGAGGGCGAGGTTTTCTAAAGGGAGGGAGAGGCTGCTAAGAGGTGCATTCTGAGGATGTAGAAAGAGACCTCAGATTTGATGAGCAGTCTTTGCTGGAGTAGTGGAAGGAAAAACCCCTTTAGTGCGGGTTGAGATGAATGGGAGGCCTAGAAGTAGATACAGCTTGTGTAGACAATCCAGTGGAAAGGTGCAGCCTGATCTAGGCTTGAAAATTGTCCCAGGAACTAATTTTCTTCCTGGATTCCTCGTTTCTCATCAGACAGGCCTTGCCCCAGGAGGCAGGACGGCGCCCTCAGCTTCAGCCCCATCTCCCTTGTGCGAACTGGTGAGGGTGTGCATTTCTTTCCTAGGAATCTCAGCAGAATTATCATTGCTTGCGCTGGGACATGTTTCTTTCCTTGCCTGAACTAATCCCAGAGCCAAGGAATTCGGGCTTTAATTGTGCCAGCCTGGATTATGCTGCTCATGTCCCCTAGAGCTAAGGGTGGGGTCAATGACCTCAGAAATTCCATGGGAGAGGTTGATCCCAGAGGGAAATTAAGGCACAAATTCTAGAAGAGTGAGTTGATACAGGGTGGCAAAAATAATAGGTGCTCCCTAAATCAAGTAATATCTGAATTTTCCGTGTCTAAGTTGGTATTTGCTGTATCATTTACATAGTCACATATACTTTTTATTTTACATACATTTACATACATTACATACATAGTCACATATTTTCATTTACATATTTCCCTGGAGCCCCCAGGGGAAAGAATTGCCAAAAGCATTTTGTTTCAGGCTATCACAGGACAAAGGGCACGAGCTGCTTGCCAAGAGTCAAAAGCCAGTCGTCAAGAGGCGAGATGGTGGCAGAGAAAGGGCATTTTATTACAGCATGCTAGCAAGAGGAAAGATGGCCCACTCATGTCCATAAGAACGATCTTAAGGGGACACAGAATCTTGAAGCAGTTATATAGGTCAGTGGATTATAGGGGAGGAGGTTAGGAATGTTGACCCACCAGATCTTTCACTTTTCATTGATGATGGCTATCAGCATAGACTCTCTGTTCACGGGGGTCATCTCATTCCTAAGGAACTCAAAAGAACGAAGTTATCGTCATCACAGCTGGGAGGTACATGCACAAGCAGAGGTCATAAAATCCACAGAGCAGGTGGCTCTCCTGGAGGGTGCAAATCTAGCTGGGTTAGTTAGTCAGAGATCATTAAAAGTTACAATATGGTTGCTTTTCTACAATGTGGCTTCCCTTATGTCAACCTGGTGCTGAGCGGTATCAAGGCCACTCTGCTTTCCTGTGCAGAATCTATGCATGTCCAAAGGGTCTGTTAAGGTGTCGGAGCCCTGGGTATCTGAGGAGGCATGCCCCAGGGAGCAGGCACCCTGACCTGCACTGTGAACTGACCCCGGAAGGTGCCAACACAGTGGGGGGTGAAGTACTTCCTGGCAACTGCTCCCAGAGGCAGGAACCCCTGGAACAGGCCCACTGTCTAAGTCACAGAGCAAAAAGCTCATAGAATTTAGCTTAAAAAAAAAAAAATCCAAAAGGTACAGGGGATACATGGGGAAATGCAAATCTCAGTCCCACCGGAATTCTCAGTTTAACTAGTTCCCTGATAAGTTGGTTGTCTCCAATCTTGCACTAGTAAAACAATGCTGAAATGATTATTCTGGAACATATGCCTTTGCACACATGTGCAAGTAAGTCTGTAGGATAAATTCCTAAAAAATATCAGAGTATGCGGATTTAAAATTTTCATAGCTGTTGTCAATTATTTCCTCGCAAAGCTTTTTTTTTCTTTTTACCAGTTCACATTTTCACCAATGATAATCAGGACTCCTGCTTCCCCACCCCTCACCAATACTGAAAATTCTGAGTCCTTGTGGAGGTTTTTAAGTTTCCGTGCAGCAGTGGAAAGGCAGAGACGTGGGAGCAGGCTGACTTTGGTTCGAAGCCTGGATCCGTTGGTTACTAGTTTTGGGGCTGCAGGCAAGCTAGTTAACATCTCTGAGCCTTGTGTTTCATATCTGTAGATTGGAACAGCACTTGTAAAAATTAAAGCCCTTTCTGTGGCAAATATCAGAGCTGCCTCTGGTTAGCTTAAGTTGACAGGAAATTTCTTGATAGGACCCAGGGCTGGCCCATGGCTTCTGAGGCACAGCTGGATCACCTAACCTCAGGCAGCCCCGGGAAGCCCGTCCAGGGTGGCCAGCAGTGGCTCACGGACTTCCCTCGTAGAACGGGACTGCTCAGACTCTCTGTGGTTGAAGAATCAGGTTTTAAAAAATTCCAAAATCTATATCCCGATGTTTTTGAAAATGCAATAAAAGCAAATTACTAGAAAAATAAAATTAAAAAAGACATACCTAGTACAAACCCTATTTTTAATGATTGGGTTTAACAGACACAACTTTGTTAAATTGCCATAAATTTCTAAATGATCACTCAATTTCTGTGCTTACCTTGTTGAAGATAGAGAACCAACAATTTACCAACCTTCTCTGGCCTGAGACAGTATTTCCAGTATCACTGCTTGTTCTAGAATGTTGCTAAAAGCATGCTCACTTCCAAGGAGCCCTAGTCTTTGCCTCTCAGGTCAATAGTCCAAATTCTTGGAGGGAGAAACTGACTGACTCAGCCTGTGTCCAATGTGAATGGAGACATTAACAGCTTGGGAATGGCTGGGCTCACCTCAGGAAAAGGTGTAGACAAACAAGACGGTGCATGGATGTGCTCTGAGAACCCCAGCCCCATGAGGTTGGGGAGTGGATGAGCAGTCAGCAGAAGACAAGCCAGGCAAAGACAATCCAGGTGAGAGATGTCAGCAAATTCAGAAGATGGGACCTTGACGGATGAAACAAAAACTCAGCGATGGGGGAGTGCAAAACCCAACTGCCTACAGAGGAAGAAACAATTAAAGCATTAGCTTTTTTTCTTTTTTTTTTTTTTGCACAGCATAGTGATTACAGCCAACAATACTGTATTATAAACTTTAAAGTTGCTAAGTCACTAGATCTTAATTGTTCCCACCATAAAAAAGAAGTGATTATTATGTAACCTGATGACGCGTTCGCTAACACTACAGGAGGTAATCATATGGCCATCTATAAATGTATCACATCAACATTTGTACATCTTAACCTTACACAATGTTATACGTCAAAAAAAAGCAAGCCGTTCCTGTACAGAACCTCTGACTGGTTTAGGGATCAGAGGCCTGAGGTCTTCTAAACGTGGAGAGAGCGGTAGGGGCGTGGGTAGGGCTGAACACACAAGGATTGGCTAAAAGTCTGTATTCGACCTGCAGACTGCCCCGACCCCAGCAGAAAGGCATTTCTCCTCTGGAGAAATTGAACCAGAAGGATGCTGGACTTGGGGACGTCAGGCACGGCAGAGGCGGGGCAAGGCAAGAACGTGAAAATGGGATGATTAAATTAATGAAGGAAATGGCTGAGTCCCCACTCAACAACCCTAGAGGTTACCCTGTGTGAGGAAGGGGCAGTTTGCACTATTGGATGAAAGCCCCTAGGACTGGATAAGCTGAACAAGGTCTGCCGACAGCATCCCTGAGCGTTTCCTAGAGACCCTTTGGAGAAGGCAGTGGGTGAGGTCACAATTGAACCTTGAAAACTCAGTGCCACCACAGAGGAAGGATTTGGCTGGGCCATTGTTTGGACCAGGGTGGATTTCCAGCAGAGACGTGGTCAGAGGACAGCTGCTCCCTGTGGCCCACCCCCGGCTCCCAGGAGCAGGTCAGAGCAGAACACTTGTGAGGTGCAATGAGGGTCCTCAGTTGAACCTCTTTCCTGGAGGGGAGAGCAGGAGCTTCGTCAGCACATGGTCATGACCAGCCAAGTCCAGACAAGCAGCTGAGCCTAGGCCAGAAGCCCCAGGTGCCATTCTGTCCTCAGGTGAAACAGACAGTGTGAGGCAGTGGGCATCTTTCATCACAGTGTTACTTAGAGTTGCAAAAAAAATTGGAAACGAGCTAATAACTGACAGTCTGAGACTCGTGAGACTATATTACACTTACATGTTGGAATACTCAGCTGTTAAAATAATTCATGTGAGAATTTTTTTGATCACATGTATAGATATAGACAGTATGATTTCAGTGTTGTTTAAAGTAACTAGATATAGATTTAGATATGTTTAGGAAAAAGATGATGGAACCACATTGAACTATTCTAAGTGGTTGTCCCGGGAGTGATGGGATTCCCAGAACGTGATTTTGGGGAGGGGCTAGATGGTGTCTCTGCTTTACCATGCTATTCCCAGGATCTGGGGGCTGCTCAGAAACATCTGCTTGAATGGGTGAATGTATTGTAGGTGGTTTTGATGGTCTTTTTTAATACCTTGTATATTCCAAGATTTCCGCAATAAACATGTTTACTTGTATCATCCCAATAAGTGAAACATTCTTAATGAGGAAAAGTATAAAGAAAAGGGAGAACAGTAGGAGAGGCGGTGCAGAAAAATTTGCCATTTCCTGAATGATTCCATTCTCCTTCTCAGGGTGGTGGTGGCAATGAGTGACAAGAGCTGACTGCTTCCTCTGAGCACCTCACCTCCACTTCCCCAGATCAGCTAAGGTTTGGGCTTCCAGACCACCCAGGGCACAAAACCCTGGCTCCTGGCCCCATTTCCCGGAGTGAGCGGATCTGGGTTGACAGGGCAGTGCCGCCGTCCTGTTGAGCTTCTCCAGCTGAGCCAGGAGTCCTTGGGCCAGGCCTGGTGCATTTCATTTGTCATCATAATTTGGTCTTGCAGTTGTCTAGGCCATCACGGGCGTCATAATTATTTCCTTGGGTGCAGATTCTTTGCCAGCACTGGGAGGTGGTAGCAGGTGGCGGGTGGGGGTGGGGGAAATGGATTAGTGGAGAAAGTGTCTCATGGAGAAAGGGGATGGCAGAGAGAGGAGGAGGAGAGAGACAGAGGGTCACCAAGATTCTCTTTGTTAGAATGACAACAATAGCTCCTACTTTAGGTCTTTACTATAGGCCAGGCACCATGCTAAGCGATTTTCATGCATTATCTCCTTTAATCCGTATAAAACCCATACAAGATAGAATGCATATTATCATCCCCATTTTACAGATGAGAAAACTGAGGCTTGGATAGGTGAAGGAGGATGCTGAAGATGACACCGCGAGTTAAACTGCAAAGCTTCAAGTTGAAAAACACCTAAGCCCCTGGTCTTAGCTGCTCCTGGTACCATGTCACAAAGAGGCATTCGCTGGGCAGCTGTGCAGTGGGGTCCCCAGTGAAAAATCTGTCTTCAGGCTTGCAGTTGAGGAGTTTCCCAGAGAGCAAAAGCTGGGGGCCCTTGGAGACGCAGCTCGGTTGATGCCCCAGGGTCCACCAGGGGGCAGCAGAGGCCTGCGCTGCCTGGGCTGCTCTGTCCCCGGCTGACTGCAGGCTCCTGGCTGCTGTCCTGAGTCAAAACCTGAACCGCTGGTAGCCGAGAATAGCAAGGGGCTGTAATTCACATGGGTACTCCTTCCCAGGGTTTCGAAAGCCCCTCACGTCATCCCTGTCATTTCACAACCCTGTTCACAGAGTACTTTTTCCGTCTTCCTCAACAGGTCCTCTCTTGGCAGGTGAGAAGAAGGACTTCAGGGACATTTCCTGCAGACGGCATGCTAGATGCTGGGCTCGGCGCCGGTTTTAAAAACATGCAAACAAACAAAAAGCCCCCAAGGGAGACTGTCCTGTAAATAAATAACCAAGGCTCACCGTATAGAGTGCAGTAATAGAGGTACCTGTGAGATTTGGTGGCAGCACAATGCGGGAGAAAGAGGGACGGAATTATAATTTAGGGAGGTAGCTCAGATTTGGCCCACGGGAGCGTGTCTGCTCATAGGAGTCATCTTTCCCGGGAGCCGAAGCAGAGAAAGAGGCTGAGAATTCTGATCTAGAAGGACGTCGGGGAAAGGGTTCCAGGCTGAAAAATATTGGATGCTAAGAGAATGTCAAATGTTCTAGAAATCATAAAGTTGGCATCTCTAAGTCTCGCACAGGGTGGGTGGGACAGTTGAGGCAGGGTGGGACCTCCTACCCTGGGCTCAGGAGGATGGCGGAGAGGGTGGAGGAGGGTAGTCAGGAGGATGCTATGGGTCTGTTGTCAAGGTCAGCGGGCTCCAGGAATCAGCCAAGTCTGTGGGGAAGAGACCCAGCCTGGCCTACCATCTCTTGCCTACCACCGCAGCCATGGCCCTTTGTCCCCAAGGATGACAGGAGACCTTGGACCAGCCCAAATGCTCCCTTCCCTAAGCCAAGGACTCAGGGTTTTCATTTACTCCAGTTGGGATTAAACCAGCAGGATTCTAGTTCTCCACCCAGCCCACACCCTTCTCCACCAAAAGTTTGGAGTGGGCCTGGCTGGGTGAGCAACTCTTTGACAACCTGGACTCATTCTTGGTTGATAACCTGTGTGGTCCCTGAAGCTCTGTCCTCCCCCAAGATTGGTCCAGAAGGGATTGGGGTTAGAAGGGGGCATGGAGGCACAGAGACCCTGCCACAGCCCTATTTTCCCCCTGCAGCCCAGGAACTTTCAGCTGTGCCCACCCCATGGCACCGTGGACACAGGTGTGCTGCCCCACGGCCATGTGGCTGCTTGTGTCTCGTGGGACATCCCTGCTTTGCCAATCTTTAATTTGATTCCCAGGCAACCTCCCTCTGGGCAGGCTGATCCCAGATGGTGGTTTTAGACGGCCGTCCTCAGCGCAGCCAAGGGCAAGGGACGGGGGAGGGCAGCAGGGCCTGGCGCTCGGCGAGCAGTGGCCCCGCCACAAGCAAAACATTTTGTTGACCTCTCATCCTTTTTCTTAAAAGTTCACATGCATTTTACTTTCTCCTTTTTAGTGTGTTCTGGCAAGTTTTAGCAGCAAAACAATGTTTTAAATGACTAACAGTTCCATTTCTGGTTCTAGGATGCTGTCAATTGCAAGAAGCCCCATGGATTTAAGGACATTCAAAAAAAGGGTTTTTTTTGAGGAGGAAGAAACATGGCCACATTAAACAAATCCATCAACGCATTCACTTTTTTAGAAATATTAATATATGAAAAAATGCACATCTTAGAATTAGGAAAATTCTTCTTGGTTCTTGTCAGCCTCCAGAAAAACTTGGCTGTCCCGGAAGATGTGCGATGTTTGCCCCTGGCTCCGTGTCCCCATCATACAGAAGTGGGGAGCACAGGATGAGGTCACGCTTTTTGTGAGTTGGACCCCCGGTTTTCCCAGGGAGAATTTTTTCTGTTCACGCAGAATGCTCAGGGGCTGGAGTTCCAGGTAGTCAAGTCATTCTGGTTAAATAAGGGTCACTCTCAATACATTTAAAATTTTAGAGTTTTGAGGTTAGAAATTGTCTAAAAGATAATCTCATCCATAAGCATCTAATGAATACCTAATATGGACCTGTCTCTCTACATTTATATTGTCGTCTCCAGAACATTCTCACGCTAACAGTTGATGATTTCACAGAGTTCCTCGGGGGCTTTGTCACTGACACCAGTTTTCTAGAACTAGAAGTTGAAGTGGCAGATGGGGCTGAATGAGAATCGATACCATTGGTGTGTTATCTCATTTGTTTCTTACAACACTGAGGATATTCTTTCCATAGATATTCTCATTAGACCAAGGAAGAAATTGAGGCTCTGACTGGTTAAGCTCCTTGCCTGGCACCACCATGTGCCTAGCGAGTGGCAGAGCAGGCCCTCCACCAGGCTCCCCTGCGCTCGGTCCCCAGGCTGCCCTCTTCTTTGTGTGGCTTCTGTGGTGTGGGAAACACCTGAGCAGCTTTGGTTTTGTTTGTTTGTTCCAACAAAACCAGATTCCTTTTTTTTTTTTGCATCTTTTCCCTACACTGAAGGCCAACCCCCAAATAACTCCAAGACGTTGAGGAGAGAGAGCCCTCTGGGCTGTGTGTGGCTCTATGACAAGGGCCTGTTTAAGTGCATTCGGTAAGTAGCTATTTGTTTCAGCCCCATCTGTGTGCTCGGCATGGGGCAAACAAGTCACAAAAGTGGGCTCCATGTTGCCCTCCACAGTGTCCTCTTGCCTGTCTGTAAACTCCTCAAGGGCAGGCCCTGGTAACCACACATCTACACAGGACCAAGTCACACCTGAACTCTGCCAGGCTGCCTCAGCCTGCCCCCGAGGCGCCCCCTGTCGGTGGGAAGATGGGCAGGTGGGCTGTGAACCCATCTGCTAACACAGCAGTGTGAGCTCAGTGTGGCTGAAGAGCTGCCAGAGCTCAGAGGAGGGCTCCATGAATCTAGCGGACCAGAGGCGGAGGGTGGGGTCAGTGTGGGGGGATAGATCGCTGAGGAGGTGACATCTGAAGGATGAAAGAAATTCCCCAGAGGGATGGAGGGCATTCCTAGCAGGGGAACAGCATGAGCAAAGCTCAAGTCTTGGGAGTACACAGCACATAGAGGATGGTATGGGTATGAAAGTGTATGTGTGTGTGTGTGTGAGAGAGAGAGGCTCCTATTTGTGTTCATCTATCTTTCCTTGGTCTCTGGCTTCCCCCGTGAGACCCTTCCCCAGGGCTCTTGGTCTAGCCCTGAACTCTATGGGCCACTCGTGCTCCCCTCTGGGCTCAGAGCTTCTGCACTTCAGCCCCACAGTGCTTCCCTGTTCCCTCAGCAGCTCCCCGCCTTGACTTTGTTCTTCCTAAGCCTGCCCTCAGCTTGGCCTCCAGAAGGACACTTGATCCCATCCCATGACTGGCGGTGGGGTGCGGCCCTCAGAGCAGCTGCAAGGATGTTGACTCCAGATGGAAAGTGTTTCGAGAATTCTGACGTGACATCACACCATCACGACATTGCGCTGACAGTAACTGATCTGGGAGTGGCCAGGTGAGGTCATTCCCAACCTTGCCTCTTGTCAAGGGCTGGCTCAGATTAAGGAGCTCGGCTTGGTGGGAGGGAATCTAGAATGGAAGGGTGGCACAGAGAGAGGTCTTCTGGGTGTCCAGACCATCACTGAGAGCAGCTTGGAGTCAGACAGATGCCTTTCATCGATTCTCTGTGACTTGAGCCCAGCGGAGGCCCCCCACTTACATCACTGGCTGTGGGCGAGGCCCAGTTCGGCTGCTCTGGGCCCTCTTTCCCCACCCTGGGGCATAGGCCATCTCTCCTCTCACAGACCAGGCCCCACTCCCAAGGGACATCTAAAGCTCTGAATGTGGCCTATCGCAGCTCAGCCCTCCTAGCCCCGCTAAGTCCTACTTAGCCAGGTGAAGAGCTGGGGCTGCCCCAGCCACATGCCAGAGGATGAAAGGGGAGCGCCCTGGCACAGCTGACACCGCACCCTGGGCCCAGACCCAGGACTTCTCTTCAAGGCACCATCTGTCGCCTGCGAGGGCTGAGTAGGGACAGAAGTCTGGCACTGAGGCTCAGAGGGCAGGGCTGGGAGGGGGATGTCACAGGGGCCTTACACGGTGGCTTTGAGGTCCCCCTGGTGAGAGAGCACCCTTATTGCCCCTTGTTCTTCTGCCACCGTCACCCACCTGTGCAAAGTTTGGACCTGGGCCTGATGAATAAAAGAGTTAGAAGTGGTCGCCCCCAGCTCAGGCTGGCTTCAGCCTCCCTGACATCTAAGAGCATTCCCTTCTAGGGAAGCCAGAGGGCACAGCCAGATGGTCTCCAGCCCAGGCAAGTGTCCAGTTCCAGGCGTCACAGCAGCCACCGTGCAATCATGAGACAGGAGTTGGGCACTGGGCGTCAGGCCACAGGATGGGCTGCCTGGGGTTGGCGCCCTGGCTGGCTCTCTGCCCCTCCCTGGGAGCTGGCCAGTCTCAGAGCACAGAGCTGCACACGGCCGGAGACTCCCCTGGGTGGGAACAAACCCCTGGCTGGTCAGGGCCCTCGAGACAGGAACACGGTCACAGGGACCGGGGACAAAGAGGGCCATCTGGGCCCTTGGCTGCCTGCTCCTGCCACCTGCCACTTTGGAAGGGACTGGATTCGATAGAAGAAAGAAGGGAAAGGTGAGGGGATTTGAGGATCAGAAGGGAGAGGAAGAAGGAAGAGAAAAACATGAGAAGCGAAAGTAGAAAGAAAGGGAAGAGAGGTGAGAGGAAGGACTGGGGTACAGGAAACAGAAACCAGGACATAACAGTGCCCTAAGCAAGATGGAAGTTTCTCTTACATAATACAGGCAAAGGTAGGGGGTCCAGGGCTGGTGTGGGAGCACAGGCTCCTTCTCTTTCCACCATTCCTAACAACAGCAAGCGTCGGAGTGGAGGAAGGGGTTGGGGGAGGGCTTTAGGGACCCCCTCACTTTAGGGACCTGAGTTAGAGTTGCACACATCACTTGCCTGGCCAGCTCACTGGCCACAATGTAGTCACTGGAGCTACATCTTGCTGCAAGAGAAGCTGGACATGTAGTCTTTGTTCTGAGCATCTGTGTGTCCAGAGTAAAAAGCGCAGTGAGAAAGAAGACAGTGGATATTGGAGCAGAGGAAAATAAGAGGAAAGGAAGCTCTTGAAAGGAGAAGGGGAGGGGAGAGGAAGGGAAGAAGGAAAGGACTCTTTGGAGCAGCTTGCACACACAGCCAGACCTGACCTCCTAGCACGCCTGGCTCACCCTAGGGTGACCAGGTCTAGGGATCTATCATAGTCAGGTTTCTTGGGGGCTGGGAGCCCTTCTCCTTCCCCAGAGATCAAATTAACCTGCTCCTGGGGCCCAGCCCAAAGTGAGCAGTGGATATCTTAGAGAGGGTCTCTGGAGAAAGGTCTGTAGCTAACAAAAGGAAAGAAGACAAGTGCAGGGTGTTACTTTTCTACTTACCCAAGAAGAGGCTCCCGAGAGCACCTGGTGGTCATGAAGAAGGATGCAATAAGTCATACTGAGTCATACTCTTACAGGATGTCAGGAAGGAGCTGGTCCAATTTTCTTCAAGGTATGTGAAGGAAACGTTTGGGACCATCTCACATACCATTTGGGTCTCTTTGGGCCACAAGGTCGGAAAACCCAACCAAAATGTTCAATAAGAGCATTTACTATCTCTTAAAACAGGAAGTCTAGAGGAGGGCATTTCCAGGAACAATTAATTCAACAGCTCCGTGATGGCTGGGCTCTGGTTCCCTTTCCTGGAAATTCTCATAGCTTTTCCTTTCGATTGTAAGATGGCAACTGGACCTCCAAGCATCAAGTCCTTCTAAATTGCTTTCAAAGGAAGGATGTATTCTCCTCACCAGTGTCACTTTTTTTTTTTTGAGGAAGATTAGCCCTGAGCTAACTGCTGCCAATCCTCCTCTTTTTGCTGAGGAAGACTGGCCCTGAGCTAACATCTGTGCCATCTTCCTCTACTTTATATGTGGGACGCCTACCACAGCATGGCTTTTGCCAAGTGGTGCCATGTCCACACCCGGGATCCGAACCGGCAAACCCCGGGCCGCCGAGAAGCAGAACGTACACACTTAACCGCTGCGCCACCGGGCCGGCCCCACCACTATCATTTTATCTGGGAGGAAAACCTTTCCCAGACCCTCTCCATCAGAATTCCCCTTCTTTTGGCTAGACTGGCTTACATGTCTATCTCTCAACCAACCACTGGCAAGGCGGAGTGGGGTCACCCCTCCCTATGGGATGGTTGGCTTAGGCCAATCATGCTTCATCATCTGGGGCCCTCCTTCTCTAAGCACACTGCAGCTGGATCCTGAACAAAGACAAATTCAGTTACCAGAGAAATAGGGAGCCATGGCTGTCGGTTAGGCCTTGGGCAGACATTAATAATCAGTTATAGGTGTCTTTCTCAGACAGACATTACTAATTAAACGAATTTGGTACAGGAGGGAAAGCATCTTGTCATCTTGGCCTGAGATAACGGGAAGTTAGGAAGCCATAATTCAGGGCACCTTTAGTGACCCAGTCATCTTGTTGTCGCCTTGCGTGGTGCCCTTGAATATGTCTACAAATTCTTCGGCAGTTCTTCCCTCAAAAGGTGGTAGCTACTTCCCCCCTCCCTGAGTGTGGCCTGGGCTTAGTGATTCATTTCTAATGAACAGAAAATTGCAGGGCTGGCCCCGTGGCCGAGTGGTTAAGTTTGCATACTCCACTGCGGTGGCCCAGGGTTTCACTGGTTCGGATCCTGGGTGTGGACATGGCACTGCTCGTCAGGCCACATTGAGGCAGCGTCCCACATGCCACAACCAGAAGGACCTGCAACTAAGATATGCAACTATGTACCAGGGGGCTTTGGGGAGATAAAGCAGGAAAAAAAAAAAAAAAGATTGGCAACAGTTGTTGGCTCAGGTGCCAATCTTTAAAAAAAAAAAAGATAGAAAGAAAATGGCAGAAGTGATGGTGTGTGAATTTTGAGACTGGTCATAAAAGACTGTGTAGCTTCGCCTTGGTCTCTCTTGGATCGCCTGCTCTGGGGGAGGCCAGACAACCTGGCACACACAAGGATGCTCCAGCAGCCCCAGAAAGAGGTCCACGTGAGGAGCAACTGAGCGCTGCTAATAGCCACATGAGGAAACCATTCTGCAAGTGGATCTTCCAGCTCCAGTCAAGTCTTCAGATGACTGCGGTCCTGGTTAACATCTTGACAGCATCTTTATGAGAGACCCCAAGCTGGAACTCCCAGCCAAGCCACTTTCAAATTCCTGACTCACAGAAACCCTGAGATAATAAATGTTTATTGTTTGGCGTCACTGAAGTTTTGGGGTAATTTTTTACGCAGCCAGGGCTGGGACTAGGGTGGAGCAAGTGAGGAACCTGGGAAACAAAGTTTGAGGAGGCCCAACTCTGAGAGTGAGTGCCTCTCACTTGCCTCACCCTAGTCCCGACCCTGTGTCTAGCGGTACATAAAACTCCATGCCCCTTTCCTCTTCCCAACATTCTCCATTTTGCACTTGGGGATCCTTGCGGTTCTGAAGAAGCTTGTTCCATCCCTGGTTCCAAGGGTGGAGCATGTGACTAAGCCCATCAGCACATTCCAGCACCCTTAGGTCACAGTAATGGGGTCGGTGGTAGCATATGACGCCGTCCTGTCCAATCAGAGTAGATGTCAAACTTTTTGCTAGGGATGTTGGCACAGATTTGATTCTACTCTTGTGATCGAACAAGGTAGGTCTTCTGGCAGCTTTTGGGACCTCCAAAGGAAGCCAGTTTGGGGATAAAGCTATAAGCAGGATACAAAGAAGCTGGGTTCTTCATGATTTTGTTCAGCAGCTAGACTAACGCCCATGTGAAGCCAGACTCATCTGTGGTTCAGCCCCATGAGCTTAGAGTTCCCCTGTTAAAAATTTAAACCAGTTTGAGTCTGGTTTTCTGTTACAGGCAAAGGAAAGCACAAATGTGACGTTAAACACACAGAGGAGACCCCACATCAGTGACTCACACAGATGCTGCCAAGGATCCAGCTGCTTCACACTGTGCAGAGTGAGTAGCCAGATGTTCTGTTAAAGTGTTCCTATTTCAGCCAGATGTTGAGTATCTTGTAGATGGAAGGTTAACATGGCTTAATGCTTAAAAACAAACATCCTTCCTTACCCTTCCCTCCCCTGCCCGCCACCTGGTGCCTGCCCACTCGTAGTCCCTTCTAGGTGGCCATGTCCCACCTGAATCCTCAGGCAGGTGCCATGTTTTGCATCACGTGATATACTCCCCAACTTGTTCCCTTCCTCCACAGCTATTTGGGTCAGGGCTTGGTGTCTACCCCAGAGAGCCAGTCTAGGGGTTGGCCCACAAACCCTGTGTGGCCTGGCATGAAGGCATGAGCTGGGGCGGTCAGAGTCTTTCTTCGTCTCTCTGAACTAAGCCATTCTCAAGAAGGAAGCAGTTACAGACAGAGCCAAGAAGCAGAGACAGGGCCATGGGAGAATGTCAGACAAGCAAAAATTATGTGGGAGCAGAAATGAGGAGAAGTGTGGCTACAAAGAAAGAACTCTCCTAGAGTCTAGGGAAAGAATAAGCTCGGTGGTGGTGAGAAGAAGATGGAGTCAATTTACAGAGAGTGGTAGACTCTCTGAGAGAGGGAGCGAACCTTTGGGAAGGACATAGAGAGCAATTAGTCAGGATGGGCTGGATTCTGCTGTGGGAACAAACAGCCCCCAAATCTCAGTGGCTTCACCCAACAAGAGTTTATTCTTGACCACACACAACCTACCTGTCACAGGTCAACAAGGAAGGCTCTACGCACTACGGTTGCGTGAAAACTCGGGCTGACAGAGGGTCCATCTTGACAGATGCCTCCATGATTGCAGACACGGGGGAAGGAAATTCAGCCAATTGCACATCAGCTATTAAGGCTTCTGTCCAGAAGTGACACATGTCCCTTCTGCTTATAATTCATTGGTTAAAGCAAGTCTCATGGCCATGCCTAATTTTAAAGGTGGTAGAGTTGTGCCATGCTACCGTACGCGTGGAAAGAGGAGAAACAGGAATATTTGTGACCAGACGTTGATGTCCGCAGAGAGGGGAGCTGGTCCTTAGAGGTGCCTCAGATCCTGCAAGTCCAGATTTCACGAGGCCCTGCCATACTGTGGTCCTGATTTGTCCTCACACAAGACCCTGTCACCCTTATTGCCCCACGCGTGCCTTACGATGCCCTCTACCCTCCACACACACATTCACTTATTCCTTGCAACTTAAGACATCCCTCTAGGGACTTCTTACCTCCTCTGAACGCTCCTTTGCCAGCTGGGGACTCCCTCCTTTGAAAGGTTAAAGCCAGGACAAATCACCTTTGTGTCTCTGTTTTACAGCAAGATGGGGGTCTGCAAGCCCGCGTGCGCCGGCAGGGCCCGAGAAGACTGCTGGAGATTCTGTTTGCGCATGAAGACACTGTAGGCTCCTCTGGCAGGTAATAATACAAATCTATGACGTGTTCTAGTGCTTACTGTGATCCAAGCACTGCGCTAAGAACTTTGCTTGAATGACCTCATTTAAGAGATTTTTGACTTCACTTTGCAGATGCAGAAACTGTGGCTTAGAGAGGTAAGCAACTCCCTCGGTCTGATTTTTGTGTCTGTACTCCTCACATTATAGTCTACACCCAAGAGAGATGGTGGGGAAGGCTTTGGGGCTGATGGACCAGCTGTGAGGGACCAAGGACAATCTTCGGGAAGGGGAGAAGAAGAGCAGGCCTGCCCCAGGTGAGTAGAGCTTACCTCCAAGGAGGAGCCTGCCTGGGATCTGGGAGAAACGCACTTAATGGGGCAGGGGCTGGTCTCCTTCAGATGTCCTTGGGCCCAGACTCAGGTCCTTCATGGAAAAGATTGAGAAACGGAAAGAAAATAAGCTGTTTCTTACTGAGCCCATATCGTGACCAAATTGTGATCTTTAAGCATCTTTTCTTACTGCAAGGAACCAAGGCTTCTCAGAGAATTGCTATTTCCAGGTCTGGAGCACCAGATATATAAGGTGAGACCAGAACAGCTTGTACCAGAAGACAAGAAAGTTATCGAACACCACTGGGGTCATGTCAAAAGGACTCAGGTGCCGACCTGAAGGAGCTCCCACTGGACAAAATGGCATCGTTTGTGCTTCAAAAACAAAACTAAACAAACAAACAAAGACCCTGCAATGAATTGAAATACATCAAATATTTTAAAACTCCATGAGTTCAAGATGATAATTAAAAAAAGACACTTGGAGGATGCTTAGAAAAAACCAACTCACTCTTCCAAAAATTGATAAAGGGAAAGCGAACTCTGGGGCTTCCCAATGATATTGTGAAGTTGCACATTCGTTGGAAGGCCTCCCATGTACTCCCAAGACTCTCCCTCTGGCTTTCTCCAGGCCTAAATTTCCACCATTAGAGACTCCTTTCTTTGGGTTAAGAAATGTCCTGAGTCAAAGCCAAAGTACGCTTGGGAAAAGTTTGTTAACTACTTTGCTCACAGATTGGGATGGAGAAAAAGTGGAAAATCCTATGGTCCCTGGAGTCCGACAGATAGGGATCCAGCCAGAGAGAAGGAGCTGAGGGTCAAAGAACTTGGCAGCATCATCCAGGGCAGGAGGACTACCTGGGCTGCCTATCCAAAGTTCAGCTCCTCAGTAGACACCTCAGGTGGTGTCTGATCCAGCAGGTGGAAAGAATGGCAGAAATATACATTTTATTACACATCTCAGGTGACTCGGACACAGGTGGTGCTGCCACTGTTTTCCAGGGGACGCTGGACCAGAGCTCCTGGATCTTTCCTGTTGGCCTGTGTGACTTTCTGCTCCAGCGGCACTGGGCTGTCACAGCTGAGCAATTCCAGCCTCTGCAAACTTCACCAGGCCCCTCAGCCCGGGATCTCTTTACTATTGCCAGGTCCCTTTAAGATTCCAAGCCCTTCCCTGTGTGGGGAAGCCAGCACCGTGTAGAAGGGACCCAGCCACGTGAGTCCCAGTGTAGGCTCTGAGCTACCTGCCCTCACCCTCTCCCACAGCTTCCTGAGCTGTCCTGACACGCCCAGATTCTCACGTGACAGTCCGCTCACTCCTGGCCCCTGACGCTTGACAATATTTCTTGGGCTTTGCTGGGCCTGGGACCCTGCGTCTCAGCCCAGGCCCCAAGATGCCCTTGGTCCTGGGGTCCCTCTCTCCTCTCTGATGCCCTCATGGGACCCTCATGGGCAGAAGGCTTTTTGCAGCCCTGCTCACCAGCTCTGTGCCTCAGCCAGATTTGTGGCTGGGCTACCCTCACTCCGGAGTCGGCCAACCACCCTCACCATCCTCCTTCCCACCCTACCACCTCCTCCAGCCCCCTCCTATCCCTTGGGCTCTTCCAGTCCCTCCCCCCCCTGCTGAGATGAGCACCCGTATTCCAGGCCCGAGTCCATCCTGCCCTAGTAACACTCCTCAGCCCACCTCTTCCCCAGGGACCCAGCGCCCAGTTTGGGGCTGACCTTCTGAATCCCACCCCCATACGCCCAGCCTTGACTGACGGGCCCAGGCCAAGCTTCCCTGTTCTGACCCCTGGCCTTTGCCTGACCCCATGGGCAGGCCTGGGTGCCAGCCTCTGCCCTCCCTGGCTGGCCTGTCCCCCTGCCGCCTGAGCCTGGGTCGTGACATCTTTCCACCTAGCGGCTTTTATTTTGAGAAGGCAAACACAGCGGCACCCACAGGCATGTGCACACACACACATGCACCCCCTCCATGCCCCGACACCTCACGCACTGGCATGAAAATCAGGCTGGCCATGTTTATTTTTCTTCCGTTAATTTCCCCTGTAGAACGAACACCCGTCCTGTAACACCCCCCACCCCCTTCTTGCAGATCCGAGGCTCCCCCCGCCCTCTTCTGTGTCCTCCCTTCGCAGCTGTGAATGAGAACAGAGTGAGTCTTTTAGCAGGAGGCAGCGGCCTGAATGAACCGATCGTGGCCTCAAAGCCAGCGGGGAAGGAGGGGTTGTGAGCATGTGTGTTTGCGTCTCAGAAACTCTTTGCACACCCCCAAGCTCAGATTTTTCCATGTGCCTTGGAGCGAATGCCTCCCCATCTCACCCCCTCCTTTTCAATTTTATTTTATTTCATTTTTGGTCCCATGCATTTTGTTTTCTGTTTTCTACAAGGGAGCCTGAATCGGGGCCTCAGAAAAACAAGGCTGAGCTGCCAACTGGAAATGTTTGCTCTGGGGGCGAGTTCGGAGGCTGGCGTCAGGCGGGGCCAGATCCGTGCCAGCGGAATGTGATTTGGGGGGGAAGCTGCAGGTCACTCAATCGCTGGCAGCCTGCCCGGGAGCAACTGGATGCTTTCTGGGCTGTGTGTGTATGTGTAGACTTTTTTCCCTCATGCAAATAGAGCCCTGGAGACGTGGAGACAGAAGCATTAGGAAGAAACTAGACAGGGGCTGGAAAATCAGGGGAACCAGGGAGATTAGGTGGGTGGGGGTGAGGGGAGGGTGCCAGGGTCTGCACAGCCACTTTATCTGGCACCCATTGTGTTGTCAGCCCAGAGCTGGGGGCTCTCGAGAGTGAGGGGAGATGCAAACCACCCCAGCCCCCAGTGACTCATGGGCTCTTTGGAGAAACGAGTCTCCTGGTACAGAGCACAGGCAGGCCAGCCTGGAGGTCCCCCAGAGGTGGCTGAGGGTGTTCAGGGAAGGCTTCCCGGAGGAGGTGTGGTAGAGTCCCAGCCAAGAAGCATGAAGTATTGCACTGAACGGAAAGGAGAGGTGTTCAGGACACTGTTGGTAGCCACCATGTGTCACACCCTGTGCTAAGCCCTTTACACTGACATCAGTTTAATCCTCCCAACAACCCTGCAAGGGGCAGTAATCTTTCCATCCGACTTTGCAAATGAGGAAACTGAGGCCCAGAGAGATTAGGGAACTTGACCAAGCTCCCAGTGGTAAGCCGGGATTCAACTCAGGGCTGTCCCACTCCAAAGGCTGACCTCTCCCCCCTCCACCGAGGGTCTTTTTCCACCTTAGCCAAGTTCCTCGGGCAAGGGCTGGTTTCTGTTTTTTTGGGTTTTTTTGACCCTGGAACAAGAACTGTTAAATTCAAGGTGGGGATCTAAGATGCCCAGGTAGATTTCCCAGAGGACAGTGGGTCAAGGACATGAAGATCAGAGAGGAACGTGCCTTGTTTTACTTTTCCCAGGAGGCAGTGGCTGGGCCCCTTGGCGGTGCTGCCAGGTTTCACCGAGTCAGGCCTCCCCTACCGCCTGGCCTGCCTTACCAAGGACCCACATGCCCTCCCGCACTCCCCAGCCTGCCCTTTCACATACCAAGTTTTTTCCCACCCCGGATGTTCACTCTGGGACTGCCTCCTTTGGGGTTCCTCAGAAGTTATCTATGCCACTCTGAGGAGCGCATGAAACTGAGGTGAACCAGACAGAACAGATTTATCTGGGGCAACTAGCATGACCCTAGAGATGGAGTCAGGAGACCCAGAGCCACCACTACCTCCCAGTGACGTCACGCGAGTCCGTTGCCTGCTCAGGTCTCAGTTTCCTCAGTTCTAAAATGAGGAGCGGCCTGGATGGTCTTTGAGCTGTCACAGATGGAAGGAAAGAAGGTAAGATGGTGGAACTGATATGTAGGGGTTGTGTGGGGGGTGAGAGGAGCTCATCTAAGGTGTCCAGCCCACTGCAGAACGATTCTCTGCCAGAGGCAGCAGGGGCTGTCACAGGCTCGGGAGAGAAGGAAACAAGCCAGGCTTGGTGGGGCAGGAGAAGATGGTGAGGGTGGCAGAGTCATGGTCAGGATGGTCAGACCCAAGCTTGTCCTGTGGAGATCAGAGGGGCAGTAATCTATCTGATTAGAACGGCTCTATTGGCCACTTGGGGATTGTATTGTCCTGAGGCCAAATAGCTGATTAGTCTCACCCATTGATTCTTTTTGACCTGACTACTAGTGTTAGGTAAACACTGGCTTGGGGGTCACCTGGGCTTGCCAGATCATCTACATTGGTTGAACTGACTCATCGATTCCACAAGACAACTGATTTTACCAATTATGTCCAGGAAACAGGCAACTGACTGAATTAACCAAACCCAGTAATTGTTTTGGCTTTTCAGAGACAGTCTTTGGATCAGTCATCTTTGGTCCTCAGAGACACTGAAGCCACCTGCCACAGCAGCCGGGCCCCTGAGCAGGCTGGGAAAAACCCTACAAACAATGGGCTTTGGGACTCGGTCTCCCCCATCAACAAAATTGGAAGGTTGGACTAGACCAGCAGTGGCAAATACATGACAGGAATACTGTTACTCTTCCTCTTTCATCCATGGCAGACATTGCTAATCAATTACAGCCCTCATTCCCAGGGGACCCAGATGCAGCCTCAGAATCCTTTTCAACACAGGGCTTCAGGCAGCCCCTACCAATCAACCAGATTTGCCATGCATGATAAAAAGCATTTGTCCTCCAGTGGCCCTAGATGATCTCCAAGCTGCCCTCCAGCTGTGCTGATCTAGAATTGCAACCCATTAGGCGTCTGCGGACTCAGCCTGGAGACCACCAGATCGACAGCCGTCCCTGGGGCTTCCCAGGTCTTTGGAGCTGCCCTTGAGCTGGGCCACGGCTGAGCTGGTGCCTTATTAATTTTCCTCACTGCTAATAAATGTGCATTGCGTCAGCTCCATTCTGCCCCCTCATGTTCTCCGGCTGCCGCCATCGCGGGGACTTTTTCAGAGAGCTGTAAAAATAGTTTTTTGAGGAGCCTACACAGAAGAAGCAGCCGGCCTTTTTTTGTTTCCTTTCTCTTCTGAGGGAGATGGGTACGGAATACTTCACAGTGATGGAATGTGCTCCTCAGGGAATTTAAAGTTGTTTTCCCTTAAAAAAAGAAAAAGGAGGTATCGCCCTCTGGTTTCCCTAGCCACAGAGCATGTCTGTGAGGACTGGTAACAGCTCCTGGGAGATCACCGGCTTAAGCCAGGTCTCGTTAGGCTGTTGACAACTAGGTCCTCATGAGCAAAACCGTAGCGAGCCTCTCTCACCACCCAACCCCCTGGCTGCTCCGGCTTCTATGTTCCAGCGAGCTGGATGGCTCCACGAGAGAGCCCTTGCCTGCGATGCAGGAGGGCTTTCTTTCTAAGCAGTGAATGTTTCACTTTCTCCGCTGGTGCTCTGGGTCTTGAAGAGGCTTAAGACAAATGCTAAGATGCTAGGGGTGGAAGGATCTTGGGGTATGTAGGCTCCACCTCCTCTTCACTCTTCCCATTTCGCAGATGAAGAAACTGAGGCTTGCAGAGGGTAGGGGACAGGGGGGTAGGTTCCAAAGGGAAGGGCACATAGCTGGTCCTGGGATGAGAACGCATCTCTCGACTCCCAGCCCAGCTTGTCAAAGGTGCAGGACAACTCCGACAGCCTCTAGCCCAGAGCTTCTCGAACCTGAGTAAAGGATGCCCCTGTCTGGAAAGGCAGCACATTGTCACAGAGCCCTAGGACACAATTATACTTTTATGCTTTTAATTCTTATATGACTATGAACCAAAATATTAATAAATTAATAAACAAAACTACAAAGATGATAAAGTTCACATTAACAACATAAAGTTATATGATGATGTCAGAGGGAGGGAAGGGGACCAGGAGAGGGCAGGGCCAAGTCAAATGCTGTCAGAGGAAGCCAACAGCCTGGAAACTAAGCTGCTTTGGGGCATGGTTCATGTCCTCTTGGGGGTGTATTTGTCCAGCACAGCCCGGCTGGTAGTGTTTCTTCCTTGGGTAGGTCTCCTTGAGGCTCAGATTGCCACCTCACTTCTTAGCAAATCCTCAACAGTCAGCGGAGTGTCACGTGAGCATCCCCTCTCTCCTCTGCCATCTTACCCGCCAATGGGAAGAACCCTCGCTGGGCTTTGCCAGGGTGCAGGCGCTGCTCCTCCCTGCCACTCCCTCTGTCCTCCGGGTGAGAACACAACCATAAACATGGTGCATAAGTAGATCATATAGTGTGTTACACAGAGAAAAGGGTTGTTCCAGTTGTAAATGGGTGGTGAGGGGACGCCTGAGGGAGGAAGCGACACACCAGCGAAGGCTTGGAGAAGGCGAGGGAACAAGCCGTGGGCATTTCTCAGGGAGGTGGCCTGCCTGGCCAAATCCCACTGTCCTTCCAGCCTGGTTCAAACGCCCCTTCTTCCAGGAAGACTCCCAGAGCAGTTCCGCCACCCTTGGGGCTCCCATAGCTTTTCCTGTAGCATGTGTCACTTTGTACCATGTCTTAAGATTTGTATTAAGGCTTGTATTATCTTTCTTCTGGACCCGGACCTCCTTGGGGTGGACACTATGTCTCCTTCCACCAGAAGGTCAGCTTGCTTAGGGCAGAGGTTTTTGCTCTGTTCACGGCTGTATCTCCAGCCTCCGTAAGCACTCTACAAACGCATATCGAATTGTCACAGGGGACAAAGGAAGTCCTCTGCATCTGAGCTCCTGCCGGTGGACACCTCATCTTTCTGCCCAAGGCCTGGCTCGCCCAAGATTTATCAAATGAGTGAATGAGTGTTGATTTGTATCCATTGTCCCCGAGGCAACTGATCAGGCTAGGAGACCCAAAGTCAGAGAAAAGAGTAAATTCGACATGACCGCCACTTCTCGGCGGTCAGAGCAGCTATTCCTGTGATGTGACTAGCTCTGTCTCTGGATCCGCTGGTTTCTGCCATCAAAGCAGCTGATTGAAGAGCGGAGCAAGCCCTGGTCCAAACTGAGCACTGGGCCTTCGCTCATTCAGGAAGTACTTATGGAGTACCTACTATGTACCAGGAATTGTTCTAGGGGCTGGGATACAGCAGCGAACAAGTCAGGCAAAGATCCCCGCCCTCATGGAGCTGACATTCTGGTGGGAGGAGACAGAAATAAGCAATCAAACCAATAATATATATATTGTGTCAGGTGATGCTAAGTGCTATTGACAAAATAAAGCAGCGAAGAGGCAGAAAGTTCTGAAGGGGAGGGGTGCAAACTTTAGATAGGGTGCTCAGGGACAGCCTCACTGAGGCGACATAGAAACACCAGAAGGAGGTGAGAGAGTGAGCCACAAGGCTACCTGAGGGAGAGCATTCCAGGCAAAGGGAATAGCCAGTGCAAAGGCCCCGAGGCAGGAGGGAACTGACTGGGTATATTCGAGGGGTAGCAAGGAGCCCAGGGTGGTGGGAGCAGAGTGATGAAGTTGGGGAGAGAAGAGGGGATGAGGTCAGAGAGGAAATGGGGACCAGATGTCAACCTGGCTCTTACTGGAATGTTCTAGTTTGCCACTGGTGTTTGACAAACCACCCCAAAATGTACTGGCTTAAACCAGCAATTTCGTATTTGTTCTTGTGGTTTGACGGGTTGACTGGGCTCAGCTGGGTGGCTCTTGCTCAGGCTCCTCCACATGGTTGCAGCCAGAGAGAGGCTGGGG